AAGCTGTTACAACATCCACGTGAAAGAACGTATAGGAGCCATTTCAGAGTTTGTCACTTAGATTCACTTGGAGTTTATTACTTAGTTCATCTGCAGGTAGCTCAGGGGATATGTGCGTATTTGAAGAGTGTCACTGTATTATCAGATGTGAACAGGCTGAAAAGCTCTGTACGCTGTGTTGGTGTTTGGACTTGAYGTTTTTGACAGTACAGAGTAACATCATCTGCTGTATAAAACACTTGTGGATCCATAGAAAGGAGCTAAATAAAACAGGTTTGTCTGAGTTTAGTGGGAAAGAAGTAATTACAGGCTGTTGAAATGATACAAATGCAAGAATTTAGAAGATAGGACACATGTTCTGTATTGCATTTTCCAAAAAATATGAGCTTGGTAGTTTTTTAYACTGACTTGCAGACCTGTGTTTATTAGGAATGTTTTCAAGAAAGACAAGATGATCTATTTATAGCTGCATTTATCTTGAAATAGTCTTTGTTATTACTTTAAATGAAGTATTTTCCTAAGAAAATAGTTCTTTATGTATGTGAYCTTAAAAAGATAAAAGTATTTACTAGTTAGAAGACTCTCCAGGCCTTGTAAGGAATCAGCATAACAAAACTCGGCGCAGAATGTCATGAAAGGAGAAAATGATGTTTATTTACAAAATCTGAGAGTTGATGTAGTCACTCACGCTTATTCTCTCGTATTTGCATCCTTGCAAGCACCAACATGTGTATGTGCAAGCGGTCTGTCCAGGACCACGTGTGTGTGACACAGAGTTCAAGGGATCCGGGTGAGTGCGTGCCCGTGCTGTCTGTGGGACTCCTGCTTGATGTTGAGAAGGTAGTTCTCTGGACAGGTATTTTTATGCCTACGAGGAGCTRGCAACTCTTGTGCGATGACCCTTCGCGTCAGTGTCCGGCCTAGTTCAGTCACAGTAAATCTTGTGCACAGTTGTTGCCACTGCCTGGCTCTCCTCGTGTGGAAGCTGCTGCAGGAGGAGGAGCAACATGTGCTACCTTTGTGGGGAGTCCTGCTTACAAATCATCTCGCCTCGTGCCTTATCAGTGTAGGACCTTTCAGTTTGGACACAAACAACATGTCCCTCAGCTTTATTGCTGGGAGCAGGGTCCGGGAAGGGGATCTGTCCTTATCAGCACAGGCCATTCTATGAGCCTGTTTTGTGCCATTTCCTCCGGAGCTTGCGCRTTTCCTTCCACCCTGCATTCAGGTCACTCTAGAGGTTTGATTACAAATCTCTATGGAGTTCATGTCAAAAAGCTAGATTGTAGATGTGAAAGAAAAATTTAGGAGACAAAACCTTTTGAATGCATCCTGGAYGGCTTTCTTATCCTGCTCTGTCTAGGAAGTGCATTGGGGATTCGTAACCTACCTTAAGAGTGATTTATAATTCAACACAATATATCTCAAAATCCGGACACATGTGTAGATGTGGGTTTTATACAACCACGGACTTTAGGCAATATGTTGCTTTTTAAATGTTCGCTTCCATATTCAAATTTTCACAGAATTGAGTTTAAAACTTGTCTATATCATATCTCTTGTTTTTTGCTTTTGTCTTTTTTTTTTTTTGTATGCAAATACTCAGTTCCCTTCTGTTGTTGAAAACGTATGCATAGTCAATATTGGAATAATCAAGATACAACACAAACAACTGTATCTTTGATATACAAAATGGAAACGCAATGCAGTAATGGAAATCAAAGGCAGAATCTTTTAGCCTGTATGAGGGAGGGCAAGGGGAACACGTGTGGTCCTGCGCTTCCTCCTCTCCTGGGGAGCTCCCCGGGCCTGCCGTGGCCTTGCCTGCTTGCTGAGGAGGTAAAGAGCAGGCACCAGCGAAATTAAAGTGAAATATTCCTCACTCTTCCGTGAAATTTTGATAAGTATAGCTTTGCTAGCACGTCAAGGGAAATTATGTACATGAAACATCTATATCATCTGAAAACTACATACAGAATCATATGTGAAATACTGCCTAAATCAAACATCATTTATCCCTTTCTTAGAGGAGCACAGCAAGGGTACTCCATTAGGCCATGGCTTTAACCCGCCTTCCCATTGGAGAGCTTTGCTTCTTTTTAGTGAAGAGCTACTTTGAAGGCTTGATCTTTAAATAGTTTCCATCTTAAAAAGGAAGTTAAGAGAAGACATAGAGAACCCACTCAATGTGAGCTGAATCTCAGAAAATATTGAAAGGACCAAAGGAAAGAGGCAGACTAAGGTCGTGAAGAGAATTAAGCTGATTTATTGTTCCAAGTGCAAGATAACCTCTCAGATTGTGAATTATTGTATCAATTTTAATCATTGCCTCAGAGCAGAACTAATTAGTTTTGCAGGATTAGTTTAGGGCTGTGGTAACGTATAAGAAGGAATTAATCCTGCTAACTGCTTGTCGCCACAAATCGATTGGCTTCTCCTTCAGTCAGTGCACTGCCCCTCAGTGCCTCTAAGGCTTTTGGAGCCTAGTGGCACTAACACATTGTACTGAATTCACACAATATTGTTTTGGTTACATATGGTAGCTAGAAAGCTAACGAACATAAGAGTGTTGTTGAGCAGCCGTATTAAGGTGCCATGACTCATTAGTGTGTAACAGCGAGGCTGCGTTTTGTTCAGTCTGAGCTCTGGGCCTTGGTAGGTTGGTGTAGTCATTGGGTTAACTTCATCTTCCACGCTCCCTTAATAGTGCAGCGCTGCTCCTGCGAGTGTGTCACGCCCTGTGTGCTTAGCACACRTCACCACTAACTCATTTTCTGGGGAAGATTTTAATGTGGATATTAGACATACTTGATTTCATGAATGATGCATAACTAACTACTATAGTCTTTCATAATGTAGTGGGGGCTGTCTGTTGCAATCTGTCATGACTACTAATTCAATGGGTTTTAGATCTTTTTTTTTACATTTACTGCCTCTACTTTTGCTTCTATGAGAAAAGACTGGTTTATAAAAATCTTGAACACACTTTCTAATGCCCATTAGTATTTGATATTTTTTTTGCCTCCTTCTCTCTGTGATGGCTACTTGCATGACTGTGGACTTCTCCTCAAAAGTTGTGGTAACAGCATGACAGATTTGCCCTATTTTGTCCATTCTGTTGATATTTGTCTGAGAAACTTTAAAGATATTAGGAATTTAAAATTTCTTTTATTAGATTGTATTCTGCAAAAGCAAGACAGTTGCAAAGGGCTTGCCGTGGACCTGAAAAATTTCCCTTCTAGCTCTGTGCTGAGTCCAGCTTAGGTGTTGCCTTGCCTGCGTTACTGAGAAGCAAAGCATTAAATAGCAAATTCCAGAGGTGTAACAGAGAACTTCAGTATTTGGTAGGGRACCCTGTAGTTGTTGCTCAAGTCTGGAACATGCTACTGCTGTCACATCTTCAGGTGGTTGGGTGCAGAAGGTGAGGCTGGAACCCACAGAGGAGAGCAAAAATTATTAGAGCCTCTTGTATGGTCTCAGCTGAGCAGTGCATCCTTTCTTCCCTCCTGTTTTTGCACGTGACAAAAGGATAAAGTGCAGCTAGAGATGGATGCCAAAATGGAGAGAATACTGCAAGCACACAGCATCTTGTCACAGGTTATAAACCTTGTTCAGTTGACTATGATGCTTGAAGAAATAAACTGCTGATAACTAAAATTTGTAATGCAAATACTGTCTCCTGGTTAATAATCTTGAGATTACAGAGCGTTTATTTCAAAAAGCGCTTGTGGTAGGTTTTAGGGAGCTATATAGAGAGAGTGAGGGTACATAGTTGCTCACTGTTACGTGGTAGCAGCATGTATTTTATCCTAGAGGTTTTGTCTTCAAGAAGGATCCTTTTTAATGCACACAATATTGAAGTGTTAAATCATTAAGAACTGCTTGAAACAAGTCCTGTTTTCTTTCAAAATATACATGGGAGATAAAACCTAAATAAACCTTAGGTGTGTGTACTGGGAATTGTCCTAAGTAAGGTTTAGGATGGTAAAGATGAAGATAGAAACTATGACAATTTTGATCTTTATTTGCAAAACATTTTAAAAAAATCCCACCATTCCAGATTTTGGATAGGAAAAAAATATTAATAGTATATGCATTAATAGACAATAGCATTTTATGAAAACAATGAATAGGAAGTGTGTAAGTTATAGATAAAAGAGAAAAAAAAAAGATGCAATAGTACTACTTAATTTCAGATAATTAGATGTGCAAGCATTACGTGGCTGTGTGAGCACTGACTAATTAAGAGGGTCAAGAACTCAGGGCTCTGTTTATTTTTGTCCTCTCCCTTCTTGAGCATTTCTGCTTCCCTGCCTTCTGTCCATGCTGGGCTGGCTTTTTAATGTGCAAAACAAATGATAGTTAAGCTGATGCTATAAAGATAATGGTTGTTTTCATGTATCTTGAAAAGAGAAAGCAGTGGCTGATATAATGGGGTGCTTGATATGTAAGATGCTGTTTAAGTTGTGGTTATTATTAAAAAAAACAGTTTTTGTATGTCATGAAATTTATTCACATTTTTTCCTAAGTTGTGCACATTCATGATAAATGATATTCGTAAATATATTCCTCTTTGTGATACCCATTCCCTCATCAAAAAATAATTTAGATTGTGTAGTAACACTAGTATGGGTTATAAAAATACTTTTTACAGTCCTGATATATTAATAGTGCTAATTCTTGGAAACCATTAAATTTTCAGGGTCTGTGGATTGCAAAATGAGTTTTGGTTGCATTAATAGCAGGAGATAAATGGGTGATTTTGAAATGATTGGGGGAGAATAAGTGACAGTGAAGTCTAGTTTTAATGTTGTTTTTTTCTTATGGTGTGAAACTCAGGACTTTAATCCCAGCATATTCTGCTTTCTTCTTTAATTGTGTTAAATGTTACCATGCATCTAATTGTATGAAAGACTGGGAATATTTTAAAGGCCAAGTGAAATTTTTTCCTGTTTGTCTCTTGCAGTGAATAATCAATAGGTTGTTTGATTTTTTTCCAGATAACCTTTTTCATGCTGCTGTCTGCAGTGTGTGTAATGCTGAACTTGGCTGGTTCCATTCTCTCTTGTCAGAACGCTCAGCTGGTAAAGTCCCTGGAAGGATGTCAGTTGGTGAGTAATGAAAAACAAGTCTTTACTATAAAGGTCAATGGATTCTATTTTTCATTTGTTTGCATTTTCTATACATATTGTTTTAATTTTCAAAATTGTATGCGTTAACTAGAGCTGTCTATAAAACCTGCAAGGGCAAATCCTGCTGGGAAAAGTTGGAGAATTGAAATGCTACCATCTTTACAATATTTTGTCTCCCCCAAAAGTAGATTTTAATATTTGTTTATTAATGTCGTGTTATAAATGAGTCTTAAACACAATATGCAGAATTAAGTCTGGATCAAAGCAATGCTGTCATTACCATTTGATGCCAGCAACATCAAGATTTCATCCAGTACCTCCCGCAGTCAGTGTATTTCCTGGATGTAATAGGTGATCTGATTCTTTTTGCAGGTGTAAATTGATATTTTACTTGTCATCTGAATTATTAAAAAAAAAACCAAGCAAATATATGTTTGATTTTGTTAAAAAGCATAATAATAACAAAAAAGTTATGGTATGCTGTGAATTATTAAAAGGTACAGTATACCTTAACTGCTTACGCTTCCATCCTGAGAAAAAAGTACGTTTATGTTAAATTCTAAAACAGTTAAAGTTGTCTATAGAAGTATATTCATTTCCCAAATCACTGATCTAAAGATAAAATACTGACTTTTTCCGTAAATTGAGCAGCAAATGACATGAAATTATAAAATCTATGAGGGGACTGGAGGATGTGTATGGACATGCATCAGTGCTTCTTTAAGCATTTAATCTGGCTGACAGGAGACCAAATTATTATCAGCTGCATGAGTGTGCATCCATAGGATTCATTAACTATTAGGTATATGTGAACATACGCTTTTACCAACCCACGTTCTTTGGTCAGGCMCCAAAACTTGGCTTTGAATGGTAAAGGGAAGGGACATTTTTAACCTAGATGCCAGCAGATGACTACACAATCAGCATGATGCACATCTGCACCTCTTCAGCTGCGGTTTTCTCTTTCCCTTTAACAGTTTTCTCTTCATTAAAACCTTTGTTTTATATTTGCTTATATTGTATGAAATAAAAGTATACTTAGATAATACAAAATCTTCCAGTAAACACATCAAAAGTCGTATTAAAAACAAAATTAAAAAGAAAAAAAAGAAACTGTTCTGGCTTAAGCTGTCACATGCTTTGTGTTTTGTAGCCAGTTTTGGTTTGCAGTTTTCCAAGGCTGTGGTTCCAGTTTTCAGGCCGTATTCTGTATTCCTTTCAGCCTCCTGTTTATCCTGCTCTTTGTTTCCCAGGGCAGGACTACAGTACCATCACTAAGGTACTCTGGAAAATAGGAGATATCATCCTCAGCTTTCTGTAGCATTGGTGTTTTCTAGGTCTGATTAGACTTTATAGAAGCAGAGGGAAGGAGCAAGAGTGTGTGGAAAACCAGAAGTGACCAGAGAGATGAAAGGAAGATTTTCTCTGTAGAATACTTGGTTTGAGAAACTCTTGACCAACAAAGTTCCTGGTTCATATTTTAATGGACAGCTGGGGCTGTGCCACTGAGGAGGAACATGGTGGAATCTGGAGCTCTTCAAGCATTCTGCACTGCTGAGTGCTCTGGGAAAAGAGCTTGTGTCATTGTTTGTGTCTTTCTTTTTTTCATCCCACAAGGGAAGAAAAAAAAAAAAGAATGTCATAGGTATTTTTTGTGAAGGATCTGGGTCTCACTAATTTGTCTTGATATGTTTTCTTCTATATTAAGATTATTTAAAAATGAATTTTAGGGGTTATGTTTATATCAGAACTTCCCATGAAGACTTACGGAAATGTTTGTGCATCAGCATGGTTGAATAAATAGTGTTCCAAAATAAATAATATCTTAACTATGTAATGACTGTGTTTCTTTTCTATGAAAGTATAATGCAAGTACTACATATACAGTGCTAAAATTTAGGGAAATCTTGAAAGTAGAATATATTTGCCTGAGACAGTTTCACAGTTCTGAGCACACTTTTGTTTGTTTGTTTTTATGTGATAATTAGTTAAATTTACTAGTTGACCTTGTTCCTGATAGAAATCCTGCCTTACAGAAGAGCATGAATGAGATGTGTTGATGGTGTAATTATCTAGTTATGAATAGGTTCATAGGATGATTCAGGTTGGAAGGGACCTCAGGGAAGTAGTTGATTCCTCAAGATTAGAGAGATTGTGTGCCAGAATGGCATACACACTAGAATAGCTTGGAGAAAAATAGCTTTAACATTGCAGATGCATCCTGTAAGTGGAATTTTAGTATTTATATATGTAAATTAGGATCGTATTGAAGGGAAAAGGGCTAGACATTGTACCATGTAGCATTATACAGTGGCAAACATTTCTTTTCCAAACCARATACTGAGTTTGATCGTTAGCTGCCTAGAAGAATGAACTTCCTGTAGTCGGGKTAGTGAACTTATTCTTTTCATTGTTATGCTATTAGGCATATTTTGTCCTCCTTTTATTTTGGAAAAGTAGTTGAGAGTTAAAAACAAGAAGTGATTTGCTGAGGGACTCTTAGAAAAATTTTGATAGAATGCAAGGGTAAGTTGTTACCTAATCCTTAATTATTACCTTACTAAACTTTTATCTTCCTTGTTTTTTATTTATGGCTGAAATTGCGTAGTAGATCTGTCATTCTTGGTGAATGTCACCTATGGCAAGAAGGAACAGATTAAAAGCAAGCCACAGGATGTGTGTAAGTTCCTATTGAGAAGCCTTGGTAGCTTCATGGAAGTACCTGGAATCATAAGTGCTCGCGTTGCTGTAATCCGTGTTGCTAGTTACACACTAGGTATTCGAATTATAATTGATGGCGGTTATGTTTGAAGTAAAGGTCACAATTTAATTTTAAAAGAAGTCTCTGAAAACATATGAAAAGACAGACGCAGTGTTCCCATATTTTTCTGAAAGTGTAATTGCTTTGGGAGCCATGTGTCTGCGCGGTTTCTCAGTGCCCCAGGAGAGGAGACAGGAGGCAGCTGTGCCCTCAGTTTGCAGGGCTGATGCTCCCTCCCTGCTTGGAGGCTGGAGCCGGTCCTGGCAAGTGCAGACACAGCCTATTCTTGCTGCCCTGCTAAGTTACTAGCTATGTAGCTCTCTTGAATTTGTGGCTTCGTCTGAGACCATTTAAAATCCCTAAAAGATGTAATCTCTAATCTTGTTTGAGCAGTGCAGAGGAACTGGAAATTCTTTACTGTAGCTACAGTACATCCTTTGGTATCCCAGGCAAATGAACAGATGTAATTATTGTCATTTGCAAATACTAATTTCCAGTCATAAGGAAAGAAATGTAAAGATCTGCTCGAATTATGAAGTGAGTTTAGAGAGATCTAGAGAGCCCAATATTTGCATATAACGCGTGATTAACCAAACCACCTTAAGTCTCGTAACTGCTCATAGCAGGTTAAATCAAGGATCTGAATATGCCTATTAAATGTGGGATGAAGCTGTAAAATAAAGTTACTGGCACAGCTTCAAAACAGTGTATTGTGACATGGAGATCAGTGCTCGGGCAGTGACCAGTTCATCGTAGTGAGTATCCTGGGACTTCATTTTAGACATCTGCTCTGCTGGTTAGTATGGGGCGTTCTGTGTTTTCAAGTAATGCTGTCTTGGTGCGTCTGTCCTTTCAGATAGCATCAGAACCCTTGGAAGGGAATGCTGTTGGAGTGTTGCAGCTTTTAAGAGATTACTCTTGAGTAGTGAATATGTGGTTAAATATAGATATGTGATTCTAGCTGTTTTGTATTTTTAACCTCAGTTGGTAATTTTGGTTTGGGCATAGAAGAAACAGAGTAATTGTATTGTTATAAGAAAAATGCATAAAATGTAAACTATTCATATTCTTCAAATTGTTTTTCAAAAAGGTGAGGGAGGCTAGAAGGACAAAAATGTAAACCTGTTGGAAAAATATTCACTAAATATGCTCACAAATGTCATTTCTATTTCTGTTCTTTCATAAAACTTATTTACCTTCTGCACTGGAAAATTAGCATAGATAAAGGTCAGGTTCATTAAAATGAAAAGAATGGAAACTGAGATTGTTCTGTCTGCTTGGATATTTACATACCAAATTACTACACTAATATAAATGCAAACTTAATGCAAATTTAAAATGAGCATATTGGAATCTATTCAATGGTGTACAGTGATAATTCTGAGCTTATCATCATTTAATGTCTAAATTATTTTTGAATTATAGCTCTTCAGAAGTGTTCAAGAATAGGTAAGGGTTGGGAAGGAATAAGAGAATGCTGTGATAATCATTTCACTTATGGAGAAAATATTGATTAGTTTCTCTGTGTGTGATGAATTTGAATGTTGTTAGTTTTAGAGCTCATTTCTGGAGAGCAGGACTCTTTGGTCCTAAATATGGTCCTAAAGGGCATAGGTAGCTGAAACAGCCTGGATAAGGCATGTTGCATTTCCTGTTAGTGCGTCTGTGATTGAAGGGCATGCAATGCATAATCTTGGAATAAAGTTTAACTCAAGTTATGTTTTCTGATGGCTTTGAGAACATTTAGAAATATTTAGCTATTATGTTTTATAATTTCTGTTTTTCTTGCTTTATTCTAAAGTAGAAATTATAGTTTGTTGATTAGAGTAGAAAGAGGAGCTGTTTTTTTTTTCTTTTTTTTTAAAAAAGAAATGTGGGTAGTTGTTTTTCCTTTTTTACATTGAACAGGATTTTTTTTGCCTGTGTTTTAAAGTAGTTAACGTGTGTAGAGTCCAAAATTTCAAACGATGATACTGACGTTGAGTAGAGTACATATGGGCATTTCTAAGTTATAATAAACAAACAATTAATCTCCCAGATTGGAGTGAACCACTGTTTTTGCTCTTGAATGTTGGCAAGAAAAGGAAAGCAACTTGATAAAGCTTTCTGAAGTATCTCAAAGCCTACAAGTCCAGTGCAGGGTGGTTTCATCTGTGCTAAGACACCTGCAGTACCTGGATGGAATTTAATAAACTGTTACAGGTGAAGAGAATCTAATTTTGCACATTTTGTTATATTACTGTAGTAGAAAGGAGTGTATATGTTCAGTAAGTCTAAAGTTTTTGGTATTTTTGTGCAAACTTTTGCGATCCTCTGCTGTGTAAAAGGTTTTAGGGAGGTTGATTGCTTTGGAAGTAACTGCTGCTTTTTGGCAAGGTGAAATATATGTAAAAGAATGATGCTCTGTGCCTGAGCTCTGCCAAGCAAGCAAGGTAGAAGCTAACACAGCTGAGGCAGGTGAAGGGGGGCGCTGCTGAAGGTGCTGCTCGCTGGTCTGAGGCCACCAAAAGCCAACCCTGCCCTCTTAGTCCCCGCACCCATGGAGCGCCACCACTTACTTGTGCCACTCCATGCATCTGGAATCCACACAGGGACCTGTTTGGGAGGTCTAATGTGGACTAAATCTAAACCAACCCCTCCATACCGCCAAAAAAAAAAGGTTAGTTTTGGCAAGGTTTGGGTCCCTGTGTGCTGAATTGTTTGTCTCCGCAGCGCACATGTGAGCRCAGCGGTAGGGCAGGGGCTGGAGCGGGAGAGCCGGGCTCCCCTTTCCGCCTCAGCAGTAGAASGAGCTCCTCAGCTTTTGTGCTGCTCTCCGCTCCTGGAGCCAGAGCTAGCAAAGGTGTGGCCTCACAGAAACGGTGCACACCAGGGCAAATTGTTAAAAGCTCTACCMAAATGTACATGTCGTGTAAAATAATATTTGTTTTGCACACTGATTGCCAGTTTTCTGGGTTTTTTGATTATACTGCGCTTTGTAAGATACCGCTGTGTTTTGCAAGGGCATTCATGTCAACAATTTTAACAATATTTAGGAACTGAATTAAAAGGTCAGTTACAGGGCAACCCAACGCTGGAAAGCATCTGTCAGAATTCATGGAGACTCTTTGAGATGGGGTTTATTTTGAAGAGGAAGCTATTTTTGAAAACTATGTTTTCAGCCTTTGTTTGTGACACCCGCACATTGCATGAGATGAAAGTTGACCTGGGATCTGTGTTTTGTGTTAGGAAATATCAGACACATCCCATCAGGAGTCAGGACAATCTTTCATCGAACAGGAACAGCATGAATCAGAGAGTAAATGTTCTTGCAGGAGGCAGTTTTTTCTGAAGTGTATTTTCCTTGTTATAGAAACTTTTTACCAGCTAAGATGTTATTGATTTTGCTTTACATTTGATGGCAATACAGCAGGAATGCTGTAGCTTTCTGACCGCTGAATTTGACACAGCTCTAAATTCAAAGTGCAAGTTCCAGACTCTGTCTGAAGCATTTGTCTCAACCCTCAACACTGATTCTGACAGTCCCAGAGGGCCTCAAGGGCAAGACCTCCCCTCTGGTGTTGAGCAGTTTGTGCTTTCCATCAGTTTTAAGAGCTGAGCGTGTATTTGGATTTTGCTCGGGTCTTTCTAAGGAGAGAGTACTAAAAGCAGACAGGAATTGGAGGGGGATGGCAAAGGGATGGGAGGCCTGTCTTAAACTGTTAATGCARTTTTTTGATTAGTAATGCCATTCAGGAGTAAACAAAGCAGATTCAGATTAGATTTTTTTTATGATGTTTGTTACTTATAAATTTAAAATGCYCTTTTCTTGTGGAAGATCATATAACATGGTCATTCAAATCTCTTGCACGCTACCCAGCTTTTCTGCATCCCTCTTTGCTTGGGGGATACAGGGGTCACTCAGGATGTCTGACTGGCACATGGAGTCTCTGATTCAGTAGGCAATTTCTCACACGTGCCAGTCTTGCTGTGGTTGTTGGAGTATAGAATCCAAGGGATTGATACCTCTAAGGTGATAGCCTAAGAAACTACCACATAATATTAATTTAGTTCAATGTTGACTTTGGTTGAGTTGCAATTGTTGAGCTAGAGGGAAGTAAAGCATTAAAAACCAAAATTAGAACTAAAAAAAAAAAAAAAAAAAAAAAAAAAAAAAAAAAAAAAAAGACTAAAATGAAGCGGAGAAAGCACAGAAATGCATAATTGATAAAACTGAAAACAGTGACAGTGCATTTTAACATGCTTAATAAAAGCATGTATGGAGTTAAATTTTGAGTTGAAAAGTCTTTGTTGGAAGGGAACAAAAGAAGAGTYTTTTTTTTTTTTTTAATGAGGAGGTCAGAATTAATATAGACAATGTAACTCTGCACTTGTGATAATAACATTCCTGTGGAGTTATATGGGATTATTTTAGAAYCACTCATAAAAAACTTAATTTTCCTTTAATTTTCTTTAATTTCAACAAATCATCAGGGTTCAAGTATATTCAGCAAAGCACACTAATGAAAGTCTTTAAAGAAATAGATGCTTAATGCTTTTTAAATCCTCAAAAGAAAGAGCTACTAATTAAAGATAAAAATTTTTTGAGTTCAAAGACATTAAATGCTTACTGTACTGAAAAGATTTGCACATAGGAAAATATAGACCAGACTTTTTTCAAAGTGAAAAATATGAAATGAGACATACTCAATAGTCAAGATTGTCATAAAAAGTGTAAACATCCTAAAAACTGTTGAAAAGTGTGTTTCTGTTGGCTTAATCTTTCTCTGACTGTTTTTTTCCTTCCCCAGATTAAGTTCGACAGTGATGGTGTCTGTGTTTGCTGTGAAATGCAGCACCAAACATCAGGCTGCAGTAACCTGGGAGAAACACTGAAACTGAACCCTCTGCGAGAGTGTAATGTTGTGAGGTTGACCCTAAAGGTGTGTTATGAGAAGCTTCAACGGTTCGTTTTGGTTTTAAATATTGAGTATGGTAATAAGACAGAAAYGTGTGGTGAGATGTGCACTCTCTTACATGCAAAAAGTTAAAATGTCTCCTGACAGAAATTAATGCTGCTGTGCATGCAAAGGTCCTGTGTTATACACTTAGTTATCTGTATTTGTGTAGGGTAACTAYTGTGATAGCGTTTGTTTAAGAAACACAGGTTATATTTGATTATGGCAGACTCAKATTCCAGGAAGTAAAAAAAGGTATCGTTCCTGTGAAAAGAAATAAGAAGTATGAGCAGAATGTTCTTCATGTAAAGCTATGTTGAGGRAGGATGGTAAGTGTTCCTTTGAGTTAGTGCTGGAATCATACTTATGGACTGGTCTATTAGAAGTTACTGTTATTAGAAGAATAAATCCTATAGTGTTTTGTGTTATATCTATCCAGATAAAGAATGAAGAACAAATAATACAGTATGATTCAATTATATCCTGATGTAATCGCCAACAAATTTCTTCACTTAATTGTCATCGAGCCCACAAGGGTTGGTGTTACATTGCTTTGGAAGACAGAAAAGAAACCCTAAAAGAATTGGCCAGAGAAAAGAACCTTGAGTACCACATGGTCATTAGCTTTGTTTAATTTAATGATAAAAAGTAAGCATCTAAGGCTCTCAATTTCCAAGTATAAATTTTAATAAAGTTAATGATCTCTAGAAGAATACTCYAGTGACATTCAATCAAATAAGGAGTTTAGAGGTTTACACTGTAAAGGGGGTCTGAAATCTGAGTTACATTTTCGTATCTGAAGCAGTATTTCAGAACAGCTGGAAACACTAATAACACATATAGCCTGTCAGATATTGTTCCCAGTCAAACAGGACAAAGAAAAAGTAACTATAGTCACCACTCTTGTTCAAGTCTTGCTCAGTTTGTCTTTGCTCACACGTTCTGCACGGTCTGTATTGAGTAGATATTTATTTACGGTCCCTTTGAAAAATACAGCTTTTTTGTGTTATGTCTGCTGTGATTTGAATCATCTCTTTGCTCCTTTGTAAATCCATATCTACCTCTTGCTTCCAAAGCCTGAATGAACTAACCAAATTTTTAACTGGGGGCACAAGAAATACCGCTCTCTATGATCATCCATATACTTGCATGTAGTTTTCTCTTTTTTCACTCAGTGTATATATATGTGTGTGTGTGTGTGTGTGTGTGTTTGTGTGTAAGTGTGTGTATGTGTGTGTGTGTGTGTGTGTATATATACATATATACATACACACAAAAATGTACATGACCATTGTTTGTAAGAAGAGACTGAATATTGGGTTTGTGAGATTAATGTTAATTTTCTGTGGTTGTTTAATACTGTGATTTCAGCACAGATATTGACCTCAATTGGTCACTAATGGTAAGTTTTTTTGCTTTCCTCTTCATACTCAGGGTCAATATTGCATGATGCTGAAAGCTGTCAGTGTCTCAGAATCCAGATTTAAACAATAATCACACACTTCTGGCACAGCTCTGTCCTTATATTCAGAAGTTGCTTTGATAGGGTTCAGTTCAAGCCAAATTAAGGTAAAAACAAGTAGTATCTATTTATAAAATCAATAAAGAATTAGAAAGGTCCAGTAAGATRCAAGTGTTCAGAAATAATATAATGACCAGAGATGTGATAGACTTAAGGTGTTGTTTCACCAGCATAAATTGAATCTGCTCTTCTGGAAAATTGCCACCAAAAGCAGCAGTTCTGTCTCTAGCTGTTTCTTCCTGCTGAGCCTCATGTGTTGGATTTAGTATCCGTGTGGTCATAAGATGAATCATTTCCATGACCCAGTCTGATCCAAAACCCAGCAGCATGCCCAGTCCTTTCACTGAACAGGAATGGCACTGAGCTTTATGCTTTCTTCTCTTATGTAGATCCATTTTGGGGATTATTGAAATTTAAAGTCTCCGGCTTTCTTCCACCATGATGCCAGAAGCAGGGGCACCTTCCTGCCTGCCACTGCTTATTCTTTGTCCTCTGTTGTGCCCGCTCTTCCTTTGAACCAGCCCTGGCATTCCCCCAACTGCGTGTTGAGCCAATTCAAACTGCTAACTTGGCAGTAAACTCTTTTCTATTCACTTGTTATTTTTTCCTTAATTTTCTGCCTAACAGTTGCTCTTGCCAAGAGCCAACCCCAATTCCTGCATCCCATTTCCTGCTCGGAGCTGCTCACTTGAGCTGCTGCTTCCCCTGTGCCAGCTTGGGGCCCACCTGACCTGTCAGGGAGCAAATTGGTGTCAGCCACTCGACATCCTGCAGGTGCCATGTAAACATGTCCATTGACATCAGGGCTTCACATAAACGTGTGCATCTTGCTGGCCCCTCTGGACTAGCGGCTACCCTGAGCGGTGTCACGAGTGCAGGCGATGGGGGATTCAGCAGAACTCTGGTTTAGGGAGGTTTATGACCAAAAATATAATTTGAGGCCAGCATAAGGGCTTTACAAGTGTGCTGGAGGATACTGTGATACAAGGAAATTTGTTTCAGGACACACCTTTTGAGATTTAATGATACATGAAAAAAAAAAAAAAACTAAGATAGCAAGATAAATCGGAAATCCCTTGTCCCTTGCCGCTTAGAGCTCACATATGCATACCTTATGGACACCTTATGGACAGATTTTTTTTTTCTCAATATGGTAAGAACTGTGAAAGTAGAATCGGAGCTGAAACATGATGTTACAGAAAAATGCATTTTACTTCATGTCATATGGAAGGCTCTGTCTTGCAATTAATTGAACCTTACAGAAATTTAAATTTGAAAGGACCTAATATGAAACTTCTTGGATATAACATAAAAGGAGTATTATTTAAGTGATATTAAGTAAGATTAATTAAATAAAATTTTAGACTCATGTAAAATAGTGTACTGTATTGCACTTATACTTTAAACCATAAATCTGTTTGATGAAACATTAACTATTTCTGTGTTTGCTGTTTAAAGTATATGTGAAACACATRCAGTTCAGAACTGATTCTTGTGTGTGCAGACTGTATTCCTACTCCTATGACAGCTAATTTACTTACTGTTTCTCAGACATATCCATTTAGAACAACTGAAGTTATAATTTGAGCTAAAAAGATTGTTGTCCTCTCACACAGAGAGTCATTTCATGGGTGAAAAACCTTTACTGCTCATTATCTCTTTTCAGGCTATAGTGTTACAGGCAGTGAAGCACTGTAATTGAAGCCAATCAAGGAGAAAGTAAATTGTCTTTACAGAATTGCAAAAGTGAGACTAGTTTTAGCCATTGATCAGTGTGGATTTTTAGATCCGCATGTTTATGGCTACTGATCAGAGAGCTCTTCTTACACATTGACTTTTTTTAGTAACTCCTTTGGTTGTGTATTGAATGAACTCTCAAAAGGGCAAGGAAGTTAAGATAYTCCAAGACTCTGAATCTTTTATTTCCATAAAAAACCAATCTACTGAGGAATCAAAATTGGAGTGTTTCACAGAGTTCAATAAAAAGTTAGCAATTCAATAGAATTGTACAGGCTAGATCTATTAAGAAGTACTAGGTTTATTTTCTTTAGCTTAGGTTTTGGTAATACGAATAAAAGCTAAAACTATTTTAAATATCGTAAACAAAGAAATAATCAAGGACAAAATATTAATCTGTGCTTCTTTTCTTCTATAACAATCTTGGCCTTTCAGTGTCCAGGAAACATAACTAAATTTGAGCATTGTAATTGTTGCAAGTACAACTGCTGTGCAGTTGTGTGGAAGGACAGTGGAAGTTTTGAAGTGTTGCCAGTTTGATAAGTCACTTCTTTCTGCAGGGAAGAAACTGTAAGGAAAGGACTGTAGGGAAAGGAAATAAAAAATCTGATGATTACAAGCAAGGGATTTTTTTTTTTAATTATACCATTACTATAAATACTTCATTTTTAATTCACATTCCTTTTTTTTTTCTTTTAATTCTGCTTTGTAAACAGAAGTACTTGTTACTGTTTTAAATGCAATGAAACAAAAACAAACACTTGGCAATATGCACTTACTTCATCAGCACACATTAAAATGCCTAGATGCTGTCCCTGCTTTTCTGCTTTACCTGAAAACATATTTCTTTGATTGTGTTTGAGATGCATAGAATATCTAATATAGGATGCAGTCCTCAATTTCACACTAGCTTTTCCATTGACTTTTAAACACAAGCAGTACCATAATTACTGGATTTCAGATATTGAAAGTAGTGAAATTGCTATATGTATTTTTTTTACAAGAGGTCTTTTTCATAGTATAATTCTAGTGATAGCTGTGGCTTGGAGTCTGTGTTGTGACAGCAGCAATTTGTGTTTTGCCAGGGAAGTGGAGGACTTTAAATTTTAATATAGCAAAGAAAATGTCTAATGGCCAATGAATTGCTGATGTGTTGACAGGAAGGGAAGTTTGCTTCTATAATTGTTCCTTTGCTGATTGGATCAAGAGAAAATATTACAGGTTGAATGAATTCCACATGGCTAATTAAGATCATATTAAATTAATAATGACTAACAATGTTTTTATAAAATCTGCTAAAATTATTTGCTGTCATTTGTGCCCCGGAGGTAGGAGGTGACATTCTGCTACCTATCTTTCCCTAGGACCTGTTGTTCAGTGTGTGCGCTCTCAATATCATCTCCACCATCGTCTGTGCTTTGGCAACAGCAATGTGCTGCATGCAGATGGTTTCTTCTGATCTCCTGCAAATGGTGAGTTTGAGCGACAGCACGTGGCCATGTCCAATGTCACGCGTTTCCCTAAATTATATGTCCTCATTTGTAGCTACATGTTGCTTTTACGCTCCTGCCTATTTATGTGTCTATGTGTGTGTGAACATGTTTGTGTGCAAGGGTGTATTTTATCTGATTGCATAACACAGTGTACAGATGAGTGTTATGAATACCTGCTCTGTATAAAGGGTTAACAGAGACTTACTTTAACTGCAGATATAYGTACTCTCTTTAATTTAGTCGTGATGAGGTTTTGTTAGCAGTTGTCGTATGACACTCCGTGCTCGGATGGCAGTGAATGACGCTGATCAGACTCGGGAACTTTCAGAGCAAAAAACAGAGTTTCTTCTGAACTTTCTGAGTTAAGAAACAACAAGACATGCCACTATTTTGTACCCTCACAGACCAGATGCCAGGTATTTTGGATATCAGGATAGCAGATAAAGTGAAACTGTTGCTCAGGACTGAACATCTTCCTTATTTACTGCTTCCATGACAGTCACRCTCCTTATTAATAAATCAGTGGTGTTTGAAGTTGTTAAATGCTCACAGCCCCTCTTCAAGCTCTTCAAGTCCTTATAGCCTGGCAGGTTTTGGGTGTTGAGAGCGCTCAGCAGCTGCTCTTGTGTCATTTGGTAACGTATCATCTATGACCTCTTACAAATAATTGGTGCTTGCRTAACTAAAAAAGGAATGATATTGGCATTAAGAGGAAACAGAGAGCAGACAGCTTGGGGGAGAGTCCCCTTTTCAGGTGAGCTGCAAGTACTGCTTTTTCTCAGTGTTTTATTTTCTGGGAATATTACAAACTACTTGCATTGTATTACATTTTAGTTCCCTTTAGTTTTGTACTGGCAAAAGGATAAATCTTGAGATTGGTTTCTTTTCAGAAACCAGGTTGAAATTTGATTTACACTAGAAGTCAAAATAAAACTTTAAATACTTAATCATATTCTTTAAAAATAAAAAAAGATAAAATACTTATCTTAATAACTACCCTTATTTTTTAATGTATTTTATAGATTTACCTATATTAAGAAAATTTTGCTGAAATTTTTACATATCTTATCATACAAAATTGCCAGTTGGAGATTGAGAATGATTTAGGTTCTAATTTCTGAATAAAACTATTGGAATCTGAATTCTGATAGTTAGATGTTATTCTGGAAGAAAGAAGTTGAAAACAGGAAGGGATAAGAAAGATAAGAAAGTGTATGGGTTTTTTTTTTCTTTTAACATGTACATTTTCATTTCTGCAATATTTCAGGTTAGCATGTGACACAAGACTAAATGGACCACTCAGGGCTTTCAGTTTTTCTGGCTGAGCAAAAAAATATATTTTTCTAGGTTGCTGCTGCTTGTGATATGACAAAATTTTAATGTACAGTATTTTTTTTTTTCTCCTCACGTCCCTTTTTCTATCATTAAGAATATATGGTTGCTGTGGGAAAACAATCTAACATATTTTTCCCAATTGTATTGAAGCTTTAAGAGTAAATGGAAAGATACAATAATTATAGATTGCAGTTTTTGCATATTTTATTGCTTTGGACAGTTTAAGACTGCACTTCATTACAGGGCTTCCCAGAATTTCTCTTTCCAAGCATAAACCCCTCTTGCAGGTTAATGTGAATCAAATCAGATTACGTAAAGCTTCTGTAATGTGAGGAAACATCCCTTAATAAGTAAAGTGTCACTTCCATGTTACTCCAGTTATTGCTGAGGGCAGATTTCAGTTTTCATCTTGTGTGATGCCTCCTACTGCATTAATACTCAATACTGCCAGGTAAAGTGTGAAGTTCACCTGTTCCCTCCTTGTTTCCCTTCAAAGTTGCTCATTCAGTGCTTGTCTTAGAGGAGCAGGCACTGAGAGCAGTCGGTGCTTTCTGATTTTATCACCATCACGGCTCATCGTGTTACATGATATCCGAAACAAGCTGTTGTTTTGTAAAGGAAATAATGTAATGATGACACATGCAAGCTGCAACATTTAATTACTGTTTTCATCAGCTATAATGATAACTCAGTGTGTCACTAACTGACTTGACAGGCTGCATACATTGCTAAAATCCATACACAAATATTTAACAAATCCTTTGTGTACTGTTGCATTTAAGTTACACAGTACAGTCATATTGCGTCATCTATGAATTTAAATTTGTTGATCAGAGTGGGGCAAAAGGCCTCACTAATTTGTGTGTTTGGAAGAAACTACTTTTTAAATAGAGAAATTGCTTTTGGATATGTGTATATATAGAGAGATTTTAACATATGTATTTATGTATCTATACCAGTATATATCAATATATATAAAGACTGAGGTTGCGCAGTAGCTCATGGCTTTGAAAAACTTCTAAAGAAAGAAGACTTTATAGAATATATTTTTAATGTTAACATGAAGTTTTAAAATAATTTCTGGAGATTCAGAAWAAAATGAAGGCAATTAGATGATTCAAGCAGTGAACATTTTGACAGGAGTTGAACTTGTWAAAGGTTTAAATGTCAAACAGCTCTTACCTCTCTGTATGACTTTATTCTCATTCTGCACATCATCTTAAAATACTTGGTTCAATATATTTATCTATTACATTTCAGTATGTCCTAACATATAAAAAAAGACAAAAAGAGAAATTACAAGCATTACATTGAGTTCTCAAGTTGCTCCCCCAGCTTTTCTTCTTTTTTTTTTTTTCAAGAACACTTGCAAACTTTTATTTTGTTCTATAAAATAAGTCTCTAATTAGTTTTTCTAATTCTGAGTTTTATAGTCTGTCCACTAGCACAATTCCCTTTTAATTTTTTCTCAGGCAACAGTAGGTAATCATTTCCATTCATATTGCTAAGAGATTATAAGCCTGTCTAGAGTATCAACTGAAGTTACTTTGAAAGAAAACAATGAAATTTATGGTCTGTGTTACTATACGTGCGTCAGCTGGAAKAACAATAGGATAGATGAATTATCTCAGTTCTGAGTACTGAGAATGTTTTCTCAATTGTGTTACTGTATGTGTTTGTAATTGAAATAGGCTTTTCTGGTTTAATGTAAGAGTTGTAACAATGGGTCAGTTTTAAGTTAACCTTACTAGTTTTAACATTTGGAGGTTTTGAAGAAATACATTGCCGTCTTACACTATCAATTACTATTAGTTAAATGGAACGTTATTCCCTCATCAGATTTCTCGAGATTTATACCAGTGTAAATGATAGATTTTTTTTCACCTAAGAAAAACTGGAATGGAAACTGAACAGAATGAGTACTTTGCAGTGCCCTACAGTATACAAAGCTGTTGACTGAGACCRTTGCTATTTTTCAGCAGGGTGGGTTTTCTGTTTGAATTGCTGTAGCTTTTTTCCCACTAGAAGATGATTTTTTGGCAGCCCGAATTGTGATATGTTTGCACAGAAGACTTAATGTGCCCCTCATATTTGGTCTGTATAGGTTTCAGAACACTTACAGACGCACTTTCTTTGGGAGCACCATCTAGCAGCCTGTGCTTTTACATGAAGCTCAGCGCCTGTTTGCAACTTCTATCTTTTCAAAAGAGATGAGGCACTTGGATTTTCTTAATTGCTCTTTTAATCTACGGTAAGTCATTACGGTGGCTAGAAACGAGACAAGCTCCTGTTGTTTTGAAATCTTCTCCTTCCAAAGCCAGGGGGAGACAATAGAGTCAGCGATGGCTGCATGAGATAAAAGTCAGGGTTTTGCCTATCCTGCACTTGTCCAGATTKTTTGAAACTACACAGCGCTGGTGGCAATGCTGCGGTTCCTAAACACATGTAGAGTTGATGCTCTTCTTTAGAAACATTTATTAAGTGCCATGGTGTATGTAGAGTATAAGTCAATTACCATTTTCTTTCACAATGCATTTAAATGTCTCTTATAAATGAAGAAAAAATGCATATCAGAGTAAAAAATCGTGAAGAAATCAAAATGTTCCTTTACCTCTTCTAAATCCACAGTGAGATTAATTTAATTCACATTAGTTCAATGTACTGAACTAATATTTTGTTATATAAAAAGAATATTTTTGTTACTCTACAGAAGAATTCTATTTAAGATTTTTCTACATTTATCTAGTATTTCTATTAAGAGACTCAAATATTTGAGTACACAAGCACCTGACTGCAGAGAATAGCTTTTCTATCCTATTCCAGTGTATCAGGTTGAAATAACTCTTGTGTGTGTGTGTGTGTGTGTGTGTGCGTGTGTGTGTGTTGAAATAAGCTTCTTTTTTTTTTAACCAAAAAAAAAATCTGACTTTAAATTCAAATGAGAAATGACTATTAAATATTAAAATATTTAATGACTGTCATTAAGTATTTTAATATTTAAGTTAACTTAAATATTAACTAATATTTAAATGTTACATTTTAGGGGCACAAATCTCACTAGGTTTGGGTGTAGCCCAGGTGGCAGCCCATTTAAAAGCACTATGCATTTCCTCCCACCTCAACTGAAAAGTATGGTAGAAACCTTTGGCATAGGTAAGCTCATAATATTTTTAGAAAATGTACTGTTCTCCATTTTGCATTCTTTTGCTAGATTAAAAAATATTTGGCAATACTAAAAATACGGAATATTAAATTCACAATATTAAAGATGTAGTGTCAAGGAAGAGTACCTATGGGCTAAAAGCTACTGGCTTATGATAGTTATAGCATCAGCAATTAGAAAAGATGTAGAAAATACTCTTTCAAAGAAAAGAAAAAAAGGAGAAGAGAACCTGTCCAAGAGGAGGACAGTTACTTAAAAAAGACAGTACTGCAGACTCAGGTGTATTACAAACAACTTTTACATTAGATAAGATGCCAATATTTAATTATATGCAATTAAAATATTTTATTTCCCATCCCCAAGAATTGAGAGATTTTTAGAAATGGTATATGAAGAATAGCATGTGGATAATGATCCCTGGAGTGTCTAAACGGATTACTTCAAAGCTATAGAGTAAATGTATTAATGCGATRTGGAAGGCAAATGTAATTACATACAGATATGAGAAAATACTCGAGATAAGGAGATTCCCGYAGGGTGCTCTTCCCAACTCACATATGGCAGTTGCAGTTTGGGATATGTTGTAGCTGTTAACTCATGGTTCCTAGCCCTSTGGCATTTCCATGGCATCAACGTGCTGAGCAGCTGTAAGGCCTGTAGACTGCTAGGTGTCTGTGTTTGGTAGGAGTTGTCTTTACTCAGAAGTGCTCGCCATGTATTCCTAGCCTCCCAGATCCTAGCTGCAAGGACTTGCACACTGCCCCAAACCAGGTAGCTTTTTCTTTAGGGAAGTCTATTTACAGTCTTTATCTGCTGTTTCTTCAGTTCATTAATTGATTCTCCTCCAACAACTTCTCCTTGCACATTTGATACTCCCAACATAAATAAGCCTCGATCATTCCTGTCACTTCAGTGACCAATATTTGGAAGAACTCTGAGTGAAGGGCTGGAAAACTAGTCTGACAATAAATAGAAAGGGAGCTTTGTGGTCTTAATACTTTTTGTTTATTGGTGTTTATTTCATCTTGAAAAGCTAAAAATTAAGAGAGAAAAAAGTTCTTTTAATTCCATAAAGCACTGCCTTCCCTGGTGCAAAGTGGGAACCTATGCTTTCTGCTGCAGGTGCTAAGTTTGCTGAGTAGGCCACTGGAGTCCCATCCTACCTGGCTGCCTGTGCGGTGTTCTCACTCAAACAGACTCCAAGCATAACTTCATTTTCAGAAGATTACTGGTAATAATTTGAATGTCAAATTTCAGTCCTGAGGTTGACTATTTCCTAAACAGTCAACTGTATTTTATTGTTTGATTTCAAAAAATGCCTAGCATCCAACAGATCCAGGCAGTCAGAGTAAATATTGAGTRTTTGGGATTTCCAAAGCCAGGACATACCTACTTCTACTTAATGTTCAAAATAATTATTGATAACTTGAAGATTACATAGTGTTCTTAACAGGGTTGGCTAAAATTGTGCAACCTCCTGTTTGTCCTTGTCTGCAAGAATTTTCTCTCTGTTGCTTCTGCCGTCACCAGTGGTTCAATCCCAACACACATCTAGGAGAGCTTCTTTGAGAGTTGTTCTAGAGTGTGAACTGTAGATTTTGAAACGGCATTGAATGCAGCTTGTCCTCATCTGTTCTTGTGACCAAACAGACTGTCCCCACTTTTGGTTTTAGCAGTTCGTGTTGCTCTGTCCTACTTCCCACTTCCTGTTCTGAGACTGTTTGGTGACAACTGTCCTGTTAGCACAAAGGGTCCCGTGTGTGTCTTTCCTTGTGAAGGCCCCTGTCACTGTTCCTGTGCCCGGGCCAGCTCCATGGGCTCTTTGCGTTTCCTCCTTGTGTCTTTGTGTGTGTCTCCTCTGGAGACTGCAGTAAGTGTTTGCGCGGCCCTGGCCAGCCYGCACTCTTCAAGCCTGACTCTTCAAGCTGTTTAAATGTACTTCAGTATAGGAAGCCTGAGCTTTGCAGGCTTGAATAAGACATAGGAAGTATAGAATAAGATATGATTTAATTCTCACTTAATAGCTTTCTCAATGTTTTTTCAAGGATGCCTGTTCTTTGTGATAATCCCTTATATTTGATATTGCTTCATTTCCTGTTAGTCTACCTCTTACAGCCTCTTTTAATTTAATTTCTGTGCCTTCCAGCAGGATGATATCACACAGGTAAACTGTTATTTATAAAAAAAACAACCCCCCAATATGTGCATCTTTCATCTCCATTTGCCACCCATTTTCAGCATTGGTATCAGTGTTCATTGCCATGCCGTGTGCTCAGAGTAAAGGGTCTTGAAAAGGCTSCAAGTGATGCCACTGTTGGACTGAATTGGATCTAAACAGTAGGGTACTTTCCTTCCAGAATCACCCCGCTACCCCAAAAACCTTTTCCCTGCTATCACAACCCACAAATACTTCACCGTAAAGTTGTGTTCTGTGTTAACAGCTGTGTTGGTGGAAAGTTAAAATATTGCACCCTATGTAGGTCTGAGGGAAATGAGCTTGAGGGAACTTGAGAGCTGSAGCTGCTTCTATTCCTCTATAAGCCAGAACTAGGCTTGTGGCAGAATATGGAAATAGGCCGGGGAAGGGAAAGGCTGTTGGAAAAGAAAATTGCTCAGCRTCCAAACTGCAAAGATGATCCAAATCTTCAAATGTACTAGGAAAATGAGTTTATTCCTGAATTTGGTGGAAGCGAATAGAATACAAAATGTGAGGTTCATTATATAAATAAATTTGTTTTCGTTATGAGTTAGACTTTCCTGTAGTTTTCAGGCTAATCTGGTGGGTTCAAGTTGAAGTAATTGAGTTTAAATTCTGAGTGATTTAAATTTTGTTACTGGCACTATATAGATATTTCATCTTTAGCTTCATAGAAGATTCATCATCCCAAATACTTTGAAGAAAGACTGATAATCATATCATTCATGGCAGTTCGGCAGTTAACAATTAATGCTCACGTACTATTACAGTTTGGAAGCAGTCATTGGAAATATAGGTGAATTCAGAGTAACCTTAAAATGTACATTTATTTCTTAAGAGAAACCAGTAGAAATATTTTCAGGGGTTCAGGACTCCCGAATTGCCTCTTATATGATGGTCAGCACTTCCCGGTATAAGATTTGTTATGTAGTTAAGAGTAAATCAAGATCATGTCTTTGGTTCCTGTGCCATCATAGACTACAAGGGCTGAAATGAGTCAATAGGCTGTAGGATACGATGATACAGTAATATGCTGCAGAGGAAGCTCTTTATTTAGTAGTTACTCATGAAACATCTCCAGAGRGTCAATTAGTAAGCAGCTCGCAGTTCATTTTCACAAACCATTGAAACCAGTCTTCCTGACTCTGTTGTGTTGTGTTATTGACCTTTGAACCAATGTACATAGAGTGTGGTTAATACAACAAAGACGTAACTCAGCCTTCTAAATGCCAAAGGCCAAGCCCATCAAGGTGGGCAAGGGAGCCACAGGATGGACCCAGTGTGATTGTGATGAAGTTGAAGCTCTTGCTCGCAGACTTGTTGAGTTTGGGAGTTTCTGATATCAACTGGATGAGAAGGATTTCTTGATGCCACTGCCATGCTCAAGGCTGATTAGGCTCCCATCAAGCCTGGCAGCTGTTCTCAGCAATTACTRCTTTTTCCTTTTCAGAATAGTTTTTTCCTTTTGTTTTTGGGATGTTTATATGGAAAAATAATTTTCTTAGCACCAACATTAAAACATTTGTAACACATGCCGTGTTGGTATCAACATAAATATTTGTTAAGAATATACATTTTGTAAACAGTGAAAAATAGATGGGATATTAATAGCTACTATATTCAAAATTTAATGAACATATGGCAGCTTACCTCTGGTTTGCTTTTGGGGGCTTTTTTTTTTCTTTAATATACGGCAATTTCAGATAGAAAACACAACCATGCAAATAGTTATTTCAATGATTATATTTAGGGTTTCTCAATTATGAAAATACACCTGATTATGTAAGGCTGTAATCAAGTTCTATTTTAAGGTTAATGTGTTTTTTGAGACACTTTAATTTGAAATGACTTAGATTCTTTATCYTAAAAGTAACTGACTTCAAGGCCCAGGTTCCTCGGTATCTTCAGTAAAACTTCATTTTATATTTTACCAGCTTAAGAGTCCTCACTGATGTCAAGTAATCTTATGCTTTCAATAAGATTGTTTCATTTCGGTAGGGATATTAATGAAATTGGACATTGGTCAGGAGTGCCAAAACTAGCCTTTTATTAGAATTCTTTGTGTTGATGATGTTGCTCCTACCAGCATAAGGAACTTGAGCTCTGCCTTTGCAGTTTCTGCCACAGAGGCCACATTCTTCCCACCATGACTGTATGACTCCACATGGGACTATCCTGCACCAAACCCTGGACTTTGATGAGTTCATACCGCCAATACCGCCGCCGCCGTACTACCCGCCGGAATACACCTGCACGCCGGTCATAGAGGCACAGAGGTGACTCTCCTTCCCTATAGGCACGCTCAGCCTGTAGTTCTGGGATACAGGCTAAGAAGCTTTTTCAAAGATTATGAAATGGTCTCCTTCACTTAAGTCAGGTGCTGCTTTTCCAGGGAGATTACATATATTTTTCACAAACTTGTTAGGACACATAGAAATACTTATTTTTGTTAAAACCCCAGTGCAAGCACTGCTGTGATGGAGAAGTGGCTGAACGTAGCTAACAAGGATAACAATACTTGAGCATAAAGCAGGGATCAGCTTATAGGTAATCCTTTCACAATTGTTAACATTATACACTTGAAGGTGAATGTGAGATTCATTTTCTAGTGAAATCATTGAAGTTAATGTGTGTTATTATGGAGCAGTGAAGGACAAAAATGACTGCAAAGCAGATTTGTACAACTCGCTGGTATCCAAAATGAAATACAGTTTTTAAAGCTGCTCTGTAGTTTAAGGTTTCATTTTGCTCATCTTTCTTGAGAGTGTATTGGCTTTGAATTCAGAGAAAACTCTATGTAAATGTGGTGTGAATTCATAGCTTACCAAATAAAGCCAATGCAATATTTTTAATAATGAAGTTTGTTTGTGTTTTTGAACAGAGGTTTCCATTTGGACTTCACTCATTCCCCGTTCAGTGCATTATACGAAGTCACCATTAACAGCCCCGGAATCTTGTATCCAGCCGAGCTGCCCCCTCCTTACGAGGCAGTGATTGGAGAGACGCCTGCTAGTCAGGTAAGGACAGCTGAGAGAAAGCCTGTACCTAAGCTCCAAGTCTTCATAATGCAAATCAGTTTGACATTATTTTAATGATCTAAAATAATTGTGGAGTTAATTGCTTTGAGGAGTTAATTTGTGCTTTGAGGAATCAACCGTTAGGAAATATTTATGTTCTTTAAAACAGTTTTCATACCCTTCTCTTTAAGGGTTTAATTGATAATACAGGTTTTCTAATGCTGGGCAAATACTTACGTAAGTAATAACATTTCAGCTGAAACGGTCTATTAAAAACTTGTATGATACGGTACTGTCACTAACAAAACCTATGAGAATGGATTGGTACCACTTTGAAGCATGGATTTTTTTTCTTTATTTGAAAAGAATAGTGATGAGCTGAAAGGAGATTACACTTCTTGGCTCATGTAGGTAATAAAAAATGTAAATTAGTAAAAAGGAAGATAGCTAGGTGTCTTGTGACAAGTAATGCTAATTAGCTTCTGTATGTTTTTGCATGTGTGTGTATAGCATAGAGCTCATGGGAACTTACTGTGTGATTTGAGCAAAGATAATTACAAATTCCTGTATTAAACTACGATATGTAGGTAGAACATGAACTTGAAAATTCTTAACAAAAATCTCTATAAATAAACTAGTAATCTTAAATACACACATTTAAATTTAAATAAATGTTTGCTGTTGTACAAAGGAAGATTTATTTGTGACAGTTTACAAAATGCTTGAGAAAAGGGCAGTGTTGAGATGCACATTCCCAGGTAKAAACATAATCTAAGAACTCCAAGATATAGCTGACTGTCTGACTTTGATTGTATTTCTTTAGCTTTATCCCTTGTCTTCTGGCATGCCCTCTGCCCCTGCCACATGCAGCCATGTGAGAGCCTACACATTGCTTTATCTCCCCATTTATTTGGTGATAATAAAACAAACCAGTATAAACTCTTCACAAGTTGCTGAAAAGCAGAATTAGTTTCCAGGTCATCTGCTTTCTAAAATGCTTTTTACAGAAGAGCTGTCCAATTTTCTTTATATTAACTCAGAGAAATCTGCAAGCTGTGGAGAAGTTGATAGTTTTGGTGATTAAGAAAGTAGTGGCAAAAATGATTTAAATTACACTTGTTTGGGGAGGTGGCAGGAAGTGAAGTATCACGTCTGTGGTAAGAATTATATTATGTGAGGGTTAGAAAAGTTTCTAATTATACTTGAGTATAAAATCACTTTGAGCACCAGCATGTGACAAAAAATATGACATAATAAACCATAAATTAAAGCAGCAAAGTAATGCTCTTGCCAGGAAAGTCTGAGCTTTAGTAAGTGCATGTAGTGACTGTTCCTCTTTGGCACCTGGGGTCGGTGTTAGTGCCTGCCTATTGCTCTCTGCACACCTGCCTTCCAGAAGAGCCTCCTCGACTGTGAGTGAAAATGGGTGGTTAATTTTAATTAAAGTGATGATATTCGATCCCAATCTCCTGCTGGGACTGAGTTTATCCGCTGTATGCCTGACATTTGCTGGTTAGGAGAGCCTGCAGGATTAAAAAAAACACCAGATGCTAAATACCAGAATATCAATGAAATATATTGACTAAATGCTGTATGGTGCTAAGCCCATAAAGCGGCTTTTTAGTCATGTACTTTTACTGCCAAGGAAAGCCCTAACATATTCTATTGGAGCCAAAGTCCCAATGAATCTGGAAATAGAAAAAAAAAAAAAAAAACAGACGAAGTCTGGGACCATTTTACATCTGTAGTCTTAAATTCTTACATGGTGCAAATGCTCTCATGTAACACGCGTCACAGCACAGCACAGTAGGAACTGAAATAACTAGATTTATACATCCCTCAAAGGCATACTTTGCAACGGAAATAATGGCAGAGCTTTAGCTACAGAAGTGCTTCTGGGAGCCATTAATAATAATTATGAAACCTCTTACACAGCATCAGACCTAGGTTTCCTTTGTTTTTACATGGATTAAGGTCCTTAGAATTTTATCAAATTGTATCAGATTAAGCTTCAATATTTCATGCATTTCAGTGCTAATTTCAGTGKTTTTTTTTCTAAATAAAAAATGCTGTTGGTCATTGGTACTGATTACTAATTTTATGATTTTGCCATTTAAAAAAATGTTTTTCACAGTGTCTTTGTCTTTATCTATAAATGTTTGTGCGATAGAGCAGTAAGCTTTATAAATGCAATCTATGTATTTCTTCTGCCAATAATATGCTCTGTTCAAGAAAAAAATGAAACATTTTGATTTGGGGAATTGCCAGGCTAGGTTTTGGGGGAGTTTTATTTCTTTGTTTGTTAGTTTTACAAGCATTGTTTCCTTTATATCCTGTATAATAATGATTTTACTAATTTAAACTTATTAGATCAAAGCTGCAGAAGGTTCTTTTTCACTAGTAGGGGTTTGCTTTGTGTTGCCAGCAAAATCTCAGCCTAGCATGCGATTCATTTTGTAGGCACTAGGCAGAGTATAGTGTCACTAGCCCTGCCGGGTGGCCGGCAGAATGCAGAASGTCAGTCAACATTTCAGCACAGATATTCGACAGATATTCTTCTGTAAATGACTAAGAATATGTGAAGCAACCTACATTTAAAAAACATCCCTATTTTAAAAAAAAAAGACAACTCCATAAAATTATTTATCCGGAAATGTGCTTAGAAATCTTAAGTTAAAACAGTTCTGGTACTGTTTTTTTGTGTAGAGTTATATTCCCCAACCTTCTAAAGTCTCGATTTTTATCAGAAAACTGTATATATGAATCAGTGATTGCAGTAAGATGCATATATATCTGTATGTCTGTATTAATCTGCACTGGCATGTGCAGTGAAAGCTCTTTTCTTAATAGCTTCAAAGTGTATTGTCACTTTCAATTCTTTTGAGAAGGCCAGATACAAATTAAGCCCTTGACAAAAGAGTTTTCACAGARGTGATTGACGGTTATTTGCAGACTCTGTCACTAACTGTAATGCACATTTACTACTTAATTGTGGCCCTAAAGAAGAAGTAATGCTTGCTGCTAAAGATGCTATCAATTTAGCCTCTTTTGATGCATCTTAGTTTTTTGTTTTCTTTTTTCATTTATAGCTACCAGTTGTTTATTGGAACCATTTTTTAAACAATCTTGTTCCCAAAGAACTGCTAAAAATCTAATGAGATTGACGATAAAACAGAATTCAAAGTCTGTTGAAATCACTAGAAACAACGAAGTTTCCTTATTTTCAGTAGTCCATGGATAAAGTCCTTCCAAGACTGATTTTGTTCACTTGATTTTCCAGAAAGAAGGGACATTTTTGAAGTTACCTCTTAAATCCAGYCTTTCAGCAAAAGGCTGAGTCCTAGTGCTCTCCTCCAACCGTCTCCACTAGGCTGGAGTGCCATGGATCAATCAGCTTGGGTGGCAGTGGGGCCATAGGGATCAGGAAGATGTTACRTGTCAGTATTTTAGCAGGTGAATGGAGGATACTGTTTGGTTTTATGAATACTGTTGTTCTYTGACCTGTTTTAAGGTGATACAATGTCATGTCATGTCACAAACTCCACAAGAGCAAATGTAATTGGGGAAAAAACGTGGACTGTTGGAAAAGAGAGCTCTCGTARTTGAGCAATTATTGGAATCACTGCAGTCAGTAAATTTTGTAATGTTAGGCTGGAGCGCCAGCTGCCTGTGAATTCAGGATGAATTTAGCTTGTAGATTCTGGGGAAAAATAAACAAAAACAAAACCAAACAATTGCTTTAAGCATGTTTCTTTGCACTGCATTTGTTCCTTACCCAAAGGCATATTAAATTGTTGTATCTTTAACTGTGTTTTGATTGGCATAGTGGTTTATATGCTAGTTGTCTCACACTGCCAGGTGCATTCTTAAGATCATGAACTCTGTACTTCTTGGGGAAACTGTTTGTAGATTAATGTGCTGTTACAATGAACAATTTTCATGCAGGTCACTGGTATTGATCAGCAAGTATCCGAATCAAGCTTGGGGGAAAGGAACATGACAGAGGGCTTCAGCACACAAGGTGATCATACTATTGGTTTTGTCTACTTTGRAGAGGTGTACTGGGATTTTTGAGTTAGCTTTTTCTTCCTTTGTACCCTTGCCCATGGGAGAAAGAAGGACTTATTTTCAGATTGTTCGTGGCAAGATGAACTTTCTGCTACTCACAAACTGACATGGCTGGAAATGCAGAGGAAATCAAAGGGGAGTTCTGCTCAGCATAGCTCCCRTGGGAGCTTGTGCGCTTTGATTAAAGCCCTTTGGGGCAGGTCCCACAACTTTCATCTCTCTTCAAAGCCATGCACATAGCTGGCAGGCTGGTTCTCAGCAGCAGCAGTGACAGATGCATTTGCATTCTTACACTTGTGACCGTCCCCTTGTCTGCTGCGTGTGGTGGCAGTGCCCTGCATGGCTGGAGACGCCAGGACAAGAAACTTGCTGCCCAAAAGGCAGACTGAGTGAGGTGAATAGCTGCACAGAGCCAGATCATTGTGATAGAAAGTCTTGAGCACTAACTTCTTAGGGAGTGGACCAGCACTGAGGCCAGGATTTGAACTCTCTACACAGGAACGTGCCCATACGAAAGGGAAGTGGGAGGAGAGCAGCCTCCTTCTCCCTCTCTAGCATTTTCTGTATGTTTGGTGCCCCTGGGGTGTGAGTGCTTAGTCTTTGTAAGGAACCTCCCTCTTTCTGTAGTACCAGAAAAATGTGCCAGTGGAAGAGTAGAATAGTAAGAAACTGTAAATACGTTTGGAAGACTATAGAGAAGAGTTTGGATGGCAAGTGGTGCAAACAACCCCTGCCTGAAATACACTCAGTACAGTCTATTTGGAAGATTTATATTTCTGTGATCATTTTTGAGCTGTCAATGTAGACGAATGCTGAAAATGAGGTTCCAGAGGGAGGGAACCTGGGTATTGAAGATCTGTGCTTGGAAGACAACCAGAGACTTGATATTTTCCCTTACCTGTACAAACTTTCTGTGTATTCCCAAACTTGAGTTAAGGGAATATGTTGCAGAGAATCATCCCACTTATCTAAGTGTTTGGAGACGATCACTAAATATAAATCGTCCAGTAAACTACTGAGGCTTGAATAGTGCATTATGCAGTTTTAGCATGAATAGATATATTTGCATAGTTGATTGCAATGTGAATTTTTTTGCAATCTTATGACTGCCTTGTATATGTCATGGCTGTAATATTCAGACGATATTCTGTAATCCACTAAAAGATCCAGTCTTTATATGGTATAGAATAGAATGTTTGTCTCATCAGTACTGATAGTAGCAGCTTTTAGGCAAGAGGGCATCAGAGGCTGCTGAGTCTCTGATATCCTACATATTTTGTATGCCGGAGGTACAGAATGAGGGTGGATTCTCTTTTATAAAGCTCTTAGGTACTTATTTCAGGTAAATGATGCCTAGTTAGAAAGTTTTGGGTGCCAAGCTCATGGACAGCAGTGGTGGGTGTAAGACTGATCAGAGTCATGTTTATTCAGCAGTTTTGTAAAGTCTGCTTTTCCTRCTGTGGGATTTCTTGCTGTTTACCAGAGAAACCCATAGTGAAAGAACTGAAAGTTTGATTGTGGTTGCCGAAAATAACATGCACATTTATTAGCTAAAGAAAATGCAGAAGAACACTAAAAACACGTGACTGACTTTTTTGTTGCTATGGCCTTTTGTGAGCTGAAGGTTTTACCTACTACTGCTGTACTTGTTAATTACTTGATTTAAATCAGCACTGAAAACAATTTCAGAATTGAAAACAGTGTCAGGGAGGACTGGGTTGGGGCAAGGAGTCATCGCGATTGTTTGAATCTCTTGTTCTGCAGTGTCTGTTGACAGCACCTCCCTGATGGTCTCCGAGGCAGTGGATGTCCCAGACCAGAGCTGCTCCTCCGAAGATCTCTGTTCACTGGAAGTTCAGGGATCCCTCCGTTCTGTGGATTTTTCTCCCTACAGCATGACAAGCAGAGGGGCCGTGGAGCGAAGCTGCGGCAGCCTGGACTACGGCGCGCACTGCCGCCTGCGCCGGACTCGCTCGCAGGGCTCTCCTGCTGAGGACGATGGCTCCCACAGCAGAGCCTCTACGGACAGGTCTCAAGGACAGGAGAACGAGAGCTGTGCCCACGGCAGGGCCTCAGACTGTTCGCTGGAGAATTTCAGCTCCTCAGACAGAGAAGGGCCAAGTAAAGCCAGTCCATCCTTGGAACACCTGAAAATCTGCTGTGGGGTCTGCAGCCAGCCTGCTGTCCCTCCCCAGCCCTCCCCCGGTCTGGGGCCTACAAATACTTCATCGTACGCAGGCAGCCCAGAGACTGCTGCCCAGCAACATCCCATTACAAAACCCAGATTTTCAAATATAGTCCGATCAACTAGTGACCCTGTATCATGTTCCTCTCATACAGAAGGTAGGTGTAGCACAACACAGCTGTGGCTCTCCCCAAATGAGTTCTGGTTGATTTGGACAGTGATTAGTATTGCTGGAAATTGTACAAAACTTTGCAGGGTTAGATCACTTATGCATGAAGGTTTTATCTCCTTGCACACGTTCTACGTTTGAAAATTTTGAGGAAGAAAGAACGTGGGGAAAGGTACACGGTGAAATTAATAGTATTTTTTTAAATTGTACCAACCTGTAACCACCTCTTGAGTAGATGCTTCCACCTCTCTTTATATTATGTTGAGAAGCTAAACTAACAAGTTGCGTGGTAGTTGGGAGGTACCAGGGAAATAACTCATGAATTTCTCGTGCTCAGAGCAGGCTGTCCCTCCTGAAGGTGACACTGGGTCCCTGAGAGGGCTGGTGCACATCAGAGACAGGTAGGGTGTGACTGTGCGGTGGCACGCGGCACTGTGCAAAGGGAGGGTTGAAGGATGATAAAATGAAAGATGAGGTGCATGACAYGATGATGAATTAAAAGGTAAGTGTTAGTGTGTCCTGCATAAGCACCTGCTGCTATGAATATCCTCTTAGACAAGTATGGAAGAAAAGAGGAGCATTGTTAGCTCACCACTGTATCTTTATAAACATCTGTTCATTAGTAGGAGAGAAAATACTTGATTTAGAAGGGAGTGATTGGCCAATAATAGGAAGAATACAATATTTGAAAGCATTTGAAAGGTATGTTCTTTACAGAAGGATAGAAGCTGCTTAAAGGGATTTGTCTCTTAAAGAGATCTGGAAAAGTGGTTTGAGACTAAAGATGAAGAGATTTTTGAGATCTCATAAAAATTATGCTAGTGGAGGTGCATTCTCTGGGCTTTCTGAGAGAGCTGGAGGAAGAATCCTCATGTGAGTAGTTCAAAACAAAAGACAAAATACTGAAAGTGATTTCATTTAGGAATATGAAATTTTGAGTCTGATAGACTTTTTTTTATATTGTTATCTTTTTTTCTATGAATATCAGAGACCTCATACCCAGGGCAGTAATTGAGTGTCTTTTAACTTTAGGAATCTGACCTTATCTTGCTGTTCAAGCAATGTCAGCCTTCAATCTAAAAATGTTAAGGTTTGCATTTATTTTATGACTGATACTCCACTAGTTTGTCTGTGTTATTAATCTGCTRTGCAGGCAGTAAGTAGGAATTTGTGAATCCTTTCTACAGTGCCAAAGACTACCCTTTTGCTTCTGCATCTCACTGTGCAAGTTATCCATATTGTGCTCCGTATGCTCTTGGAGTAGTGTTTGACAGAGATGTTATTGTAGGCAGCCACATCTCTGTGCTCTTGCTGACTGTTGGGACACCTGCCATAACAGATGCTCTGGCTTCATTTTTAACACATCCTAAATACATCCATCTTTTTTTCTTTCTGGAAAAGGGGGCTTGTTTAATTTACTGTGATTATGGGAATTACGATGTCTAATTTCCAAGTTCTTGACCCTGCATGGGTTGAAAATGGGTGAACCACTGTTGAATTTTAACTGTGCTTAGCAAAGATGGTACTGAAGGAGGGAGCAAGAGAAGAGGCAACTTAAAATAAATGTGTGCTGCCCTCCTTTGCCATTCTTTTCCTGCCTACAGGAGCCTCTTTTACATGAAATCTTTGTTAGAGAAACACATGGGTTTAGATATACATATTTTTTCCATTCAAGTATTTGGCAAACTAGAGAGCTATATTGCAAAGTGTGACTCTGAGCAGCTTTCCACTGCTCTACGTTGCCTCACCTTCCTCACTGCATACTGATTGCTGAACTTTGGACATCGCACATAGAGCAGAAGCAGCACATTTCTAATAATATGTATTGACTGTCAGTAGCAGCTCTGAAGCTTATTTTTCCTAAGTGATGACATACAGTTCTTTATCATAATTAACTTCAGTGAAGCATTAGATGTTTCAGGACTGATCTATAGATTTCACCACAAAATTTTAAATACTGATATGTGGTAACTGTCATAGAAAAGTTCTAAACTACCTGTAACTTTGAAAGACACTAAAGATGACACTAAATACCTCAAGGGAGAGAGTGAAGAGRGGGGGGGTCAGCCTCTTTTCAGTGGYGGACAGCGATAGGACTAGAGGAAATGGCCACAAGCTGAGGCACCAAAAGTTCCGCAGGAACTTAAGGAAACATTTAAATAACAGTGAGGGTGACAGAGCCCTGGCACAGGCTGCCCGGAGAGGTTGTGGAGTCTCCTTCTCTGGAGATGTTTMAAACCCGCTTGGACGCAGCCCTGTGCCCCGTGCTCTGGGTGACCCTGCGTGAGCAGGGGGTTGCACTAGATGACCTCTGAGGTCCCTTCCAACCTTAAGCATTCTGTGATTCTATGAGGCAGACACAGAAAGGTGTTTTCGCTCAAAGACATATCACGCTCTAAGTTAGGAGAAGCTAGAAAAGGACAAGCCTGTTATGCAGAGGTGAAGTTCTCTCTGGAAACTACCTGTGGGCCTGTCGAGCTGTGTCCRGTGTGTGGATGGGCTACCGCCTTGTGGATCCACGCAGGAAGGAGTCCACAGCAGACTCTGCAGCTCTGTCAGTAAGAGAGCTGAGTGATCGGTGGTTACTGTAGTGTCCCTATTCCAGAAACTCACAGTAATGCCTGCTTAATTCAGGATTGTGTCCAACGGTGTCGTTTTGGCTTTGCTCCTCAAATTAAGCAGTATAATAGAGGATGGGAAAATAAAATCTCTGAAGTGTCCCCTCTTAATAAGCATGCCATGATTGGTGTGTGGTAGTACTTTAAAATAGTAAGGCAGGTTAAAGACAGACTAATAGCTTACAGCTTCTCTCTGTAGAATCTTTTATTTTTCTTCATTTAATTACTTACTCTACTGGAGGATTATAGTAGGTTTTTATTATGAACTTTCTTTAAAATAGTGAAGAAAATGGCTTCAATCTACCTAGGAGTTCAAAATAGCTTTCAGTCCTCTAAACGGATGTAAGCAGGGTAAGCATAAACAAGAGGGCTTATTCCATGCTGTCATAAGCCTGAGGTCAGAGGCTGCACATAATAGTGCAGACACTGGATGGTGTCACTCCAGCAGCTCTGATGCTCTGACTGGCATCTCAGAAAGGGCGTTAGAAACCTCTTGTCCGCCCAGCTCTGTGCAGGGCTGCTTGTTGGTGCCTTGTAGCCCTTTAATTGGAGCACCAGTAACCAGCCTGCCTGTTACCGCATCAGTGGTAGGTAGCATTTGTCCTCCGCGGGAGGAGAATCTATTAAAAAAGGGAGATAGAGTTATTGCACAAAGCTCCAGTTTTTATGGATTTTTCTCATTTTTCCATTTTCTAAGGTAAACTCTGTCTAGCAGGGAGATACAAGACGCTCTGCCCCAGACCACAGGGAGCCATCCCTGCTGTTCATGTGCAGCCTTCAGTAGCTGTGTAACAGGAAACCAAGCAAGACTATCCTCTAATATATCTTCTAATCCTATTTATTTAATTGCTTAAAGGACAGGTCTGTGTATAGTAGCTTCTCCTCATGAATGGATGTCTTGAAAGTAGTATTTCATCTGAGTAGCCTTACTCTGTAAAGGAGATTATAAAAGACGCCAGTGTATTTTCCATGCTTCCAGGAGAGGATGACAGGGTTTGGTTGTGCTCTTTCCCTCTCTCTGTTTCTCTGCGCTTAAAGGTGRTAATTGTGCCTGGACTCCAGTATACAGCCAGCATCGAGGCACAGGATTATTTCCAGCTACACTGGAAACAGGTGAGGATCGCTTTTCTACAGTTGGATCATAGGGGTTTCCTTCTCTTGCTAACTACCTGGTACCAGGTGCCCGTTTCCTGCACTGAATTTGGGGCATTGGGTTTTAAAGCCGGGGAGGGGGGTTGCTCCTTGCCTCACAGCAGGGTGTGATGAGAGGCAGAATTCCTCATAACGCTCCAATGCTGGATGAGCCACTGAGTGAAAACAAATGCTGTGATTTAACTCCATGTTTTAGCTTAGCTGTTTTAGCTTAGCTGTTTTTGCTTTCTATTTTCACATAATTTCTCATGTATTACTGCTTGTAATTTTTGAACGTCAGATTACAAGAAGAAACTTCATCCTTAGAGTCACTGAAAGTTAAAGCATTTTGAATTACACATGTAATGTTGAACAGTTGTCTTCCCCCTTCCCCTTCCTTAATATCAGCTGAAAGTTCTACAACAGAGTCAATGGATGTGCATGCTAGTTAGGCAGGAGTTTACATACTTGTCACTCATCTCTGCATGGTCCTTCTTCATGAGGCATCTTACCCCTCATGCTACTGTGCTGTTTAAAACAAACCATTCTGAAATGTTTCCTAATTTCATATTTCTGTTGTGCAGAAGAAAAAAACAGGAATTTTATGACAAACTAAAAACTTTTTGTTGACAGTATTTTGATTTGTTGACTTAAAAAAATGCTATTACTTGAAAGGTACTTTTTCCCCCCCCTCTTTAGTTCCTGTTTYGGGTTCTCACATGGCTGCCTCTGCTTGTCAGGATTCTCTGAGCAGTTTCCTACCAGCTGAAAAGCAGAGGGATACAAGGAAAATTGACCTCCGTGTAAAGTCAAAGGCTTTGCAAGCAGCCTCGAAAGAGCGACCGCACTCTTTAGTGGACCTTAAAGCCTATAAAGACACAAAAATTTTAGTGGCCAAGTTTTTGGAACATTCAGACTGTAATCTGCCTCCAGAAGTGCGTCACGTCGTGAACAGCATCCGCTCTGTTATCAAGTCTGACGAAAGACACATGGAGGAAGCCATCTTCAGTGCCAACATCATAGAGCAGGTGGGCCCCGCGTGTCTTGAAGAGTYGCTCAGCCACATACTTACATGTTTTTACAATGACAGTAGTTCAGAGAATTGTTCCAGATGTTCTTGTACAGTAACATGACTTTAATAAGGAAAAGTACTGATCAAGCAGAAGTGCATTTTCCACCGAAGCAATTGCAAATGCATTTAGAATTCTTTAGTGGGTAATACAGGTACACCTGGGACAGCATCTACCATACATGACCCTGTGTTTATATGCAGAAAGACATAACTAATAATAAATGTTTTTAGTAAGAGGAAAGGTGATGGATCACCTTTGGCTAGTGTTGTTATCAAAATGATAGATATAGGAATGAAGTTTCTATTAACAGGTTTAACAGCAGCACTTATGAGTGTGTCCAGGCTGCCTGTTGGGTTTCCACGGAGCATCAAGGATACCTGCTTGGCTGTTTCCCTTTTGAGGTGGCTTTCCTGTGGTGGTAGTCTGCCGATCCCTGAACAAGGGAAACTGGAGGTTCAGAGTAGGGTTTAATATCAGATAAAAAACATATGAGATAGTTTGATGTGTAGCAGAAATGGTACTGCATTTATAAAAGCTCGCTGCAATATTGTTTATCATAATTATCATTCACTTCACTTTTATAGTCACATCACTAGAAAAACAGTTATGATAGTTAATAGAAAGTTATTATGGAATTAATTTTTAACATTTTTAATGCTTTATACGATTTATAGGCCATTAAATCCTCAAGGTTGGAAAGTTGAAAACAACTTTATTTAAATTAAAAAAAAAGTTTCTCACAAACCAAATTATTATAAATAAATGTTTATGCAGATCATAAAGCCAGAAACCCCATGTGAGCTTCTGAGAGCCAAGGATACATACAGCTTTTTAACATTAAAGAAATAATTCCCATGAGGTTATGTTTTCAGCCAAAAACACTAATCAGTGAAAGTCCGAGCTGTTCCAGCAATCTACTTAAGAAGTCCCAGGATTCCCTCTAAAATTGCTGTATAATTCCGATTTGTGGAGCAGATTGACGGTTCCATTAGCCAGAGTGTTTGTTTACCACGCTTGTGAGGTTTCAGTGCTCTTCAGCCTTCCCCAAAGCTACTGAAGCTTCTCTTCCCCCTAAAAGAAACAGATTTCTTTCAGACTCATATTTGTCTATTATAAGGCAAAGTTGCCTTCATTTTCACTAGCTTCCTTTTCATTTTATAGCGAGAAAAGGAGGATTTGATTGCACCTTGCTGCTGGGCGGCTGTGACATGGATACGAGGCTCGATATCTTTCCAAGGTCCTTTGCTTTGCAGCAGCCAGTGCTCAGCCCTAGTGCTTTGGAGAACAGGGGAGGTGGGATAGAGAGGCCCTGGGTGCCTGCAAAAACCCGTGTCTCCTTGGAGGAAGCTCTGTTGTTAACTAGATTAAACACATAATATTCAAGGACTAAACCTCTTGGATGAAAACATTTCTTATTCTGTTTTTTTTTCCCCGTCTTTTCTTTCTCCATTGCTGCCCTTTCYGACAGGTAATCACGAGTTCCCAGCAGAATGTGAGCAGCTCTCGGAAGCGCCTCCAGGGAGATCTGCACCTGCAGAGCTGCGGGGCGCTGAGCTCGCCAGGCGCCTTCTCGCGCCGGGCGCGCGGCGCCCACAGCTCGGAGCGCGACCGGCCTCGCAGCCTGGGCCACGTTTGCCGGGAGACCATCCTTTGAGAACAGCCCCAGGTACGTGGGTCCAGCCAAGAGGTTTAAGGAAGAATCCAGGACTGGGAGAAATACAATAGTGGATGGCTTAAAAAGGAAAAAGTGTCTTCCTTTGGAATTCCACTTTTTTTCCAAGCGCAGGAAGCGAACGCCTGTTTTTCTGAATGTAAATTGCAGCCCTGCATTTTGCAGAATTTTACTGATTTATTAGTAAACTCGTAAGAAATGTTTTCCCAACCAGAAATGCATATATTTCTCTGTACTTATTTACAGAAATGCTGCTGATGCTGCCTAGCATTTCTTGAAAATCATTGCAAAACCACTACGAGACCTGTTGTACAACTTAAAAGTTGTATTTATTTAATGTACCTCAAAGTGTTTTAACTATGATCAGTGTTTTAATAAAAAGTATTTCTGGACTCTGTTTTTGCAACAGCTGATTTGGATACAAATGCAGAAGTTGTTTATAAGCAMGCGCAGTGCTTACCCTAATCCACATCACCAGTGTCGGTCGTGCCAGGCTAACCGAGCTGTCCTGATAAAACTGCTTTCCCCCTCCCCCCGAGAATGTGTTGCCCTTCGAAATTCCAGCCAAGGGTGCTGTGTGGTTTATTTTGGCTTTGATCTGAATGCCTATGAGCTTATTAATGGAGTAGTCAAGGCTATTGAAAAATGTTTAAAGATTCTGCCAATTGTGACCAAAAGATGCAGCAGGAAAAATAATCTCTGAAATTTTGTATTTCTAAAATGAGGACTGTATAAATTTCTTACAAATGGTAACTGATAGAAAATTAGATGTATTTTTTTATCCAGCAGAGCCTTGATTTTTTATTTAAAAGAAGTGCTATTCCATTCCAGTTAGTAATCTGGACAGTTATGTTACTAAAATTTGTCCTTGTGGTTCTGCTGCATTTGTGATTAATTTAAAATTGATCTTAAAAAATCAAAATCACGGACACTAGTTGGATTACCAGCATAACACAAGTCTACCAGCAATGTCTTCCAGAGCAAGTTTCATCTCCGAGGAAACGGGAAATGCCTTAAACAGAAGGTTCTCRTAAAGAACCTTTCCTAGGATGATGGTTTGTGGGTTTCATCCTTGCGCAGCAGTGCTTGTCAGCAGTGTTACACTCTCCTTCTGAGGTTTGGTCATATAATGGTTTCGTTTGTGTCATTCTGAGCTGGGCAGACATCCTGCGAAAAGGTCACAAAGGAATATAGCTGAGGATGGGTAGGTCTAGTTTTACAGAGTCATCCATTTTAATGTTTTTTAAGCATTTATAGCATGCCTCGGTATTGATGTGAAGTTACAGTGACATCCAGTGGCAACAAGGTAGGCTAATTGCAAGCATCTATTCTGCAGATGGTGAGAGACAACACACAAACTCTTTCTTCAAGAGTGGAATGAATTCCTTTTAAGAGTAGAAATCTGTGACCTTTGCAACTGCACTTAGATGAAGAATTAAGTGATATTTATTTGGATTTTTTTTTGGCTATATAAGCTTATACACCAAACAAAATAAGCGAGCTTTCTTTATTATTTCTGATTTATTAGTGATACTAAGTTAATTCTTTCCTAAGTTCAGTTGCATGCAACACACATTAGTCCTTGAAGTACAGTCATCCTAAAGCTTTTTAGTTGCTGCATGGTAAGGCTTCTTAAGTCACAGTGTATTTTCTTCAAGGCCTTGGCCAAAAAAAAAAAAAAAAAAAAAAACCTAGACAAAAAGTTACATCAATTAACATTTATCGCATATGGAATACAACTTTTCTACTATTTTTTTTTAATCTACACACATTCTAATACTGCTGATGGTGCTAGCTCATTTGTCAGAACAACTTACATTCAGAACACATTGCCTCAGGAATAAGGATGCTTTATAAAAGACAGTAACAGGTAAGCATGGCTTTCCCAGTTTGAACAAAAAGGTAATAAGCAAAAACAAAAGAAAACAGCCCAACACATACATCACACAAACTGTGCAATAAGTTATCAGTGAAATAGTTCTGTTAAATCATAAAAATCACAAACATTAAAAATAAATATGTATCTAAATAAATATTTTGATTTTAATCTTGTGGCAATTATTCTTTATTTAGCATATGAAACACTTTTACATGTTTATGTTCACACCTTGCCAAACAGGTTACACTTGTCATAACAATACCAAGTACTACAGTGGTTTGCTTTACGTTAGAATCTAGAAGTTTAACTGCACACATTCCTATCCACTGAAATACCATCTACTAGGTACCAATTTTAGAATTATACAATGCCATCAGTACTGTACCACTTTATGGGACTGGGATTTTTTTTAAAAAAAACTTGAGGCAGCCCTAACTTTCTCAGATCACTTGTCTCRGCCATTTCCTGCAGTCTCATTCATCAGATATTCACATTCACCATGATATCAAACAGGACAGACATACATACACCACGCCACATAAGGGTTACAAATAAATATGTTTTACGCTTTATGAGAAAAGAAGATGCTTAGAAGATGTTGCAAAATACTTAAATATTTTACAAAGATTTTATGTCAGTGATTATTGTCCTTGACCATTCTTCTCATCACTTTTTGGCAAAGAAAGAAAAGGGAAGGAGAGAAAAGGCAGCGACACCTATCTGTTCCTGGTTTCGGAGCCCTCAGGTCCAGCTTCCAAGCCTTTCATTCATACAAAATACAAAATTCTCTTCAACTGTGAAGGCTTCAGCTTTGATGGAATCGTTATTTTGTTGAGAGAGTCTCATGCTAGATGTACAGGGGTGTCTCTTGCCCAGTGAGAAGCCTGAACATGGCAGCTGGCATAGTCTTCATGTGAATCTGTCAATCGATTTACACAAAAATCAAAAGAATTGTTACTAGTTCAGAATAATCCGTATGTCCTGATCTGTGTCTCAGTGGTGTAAGTGCATTCACTCCCCTGGCTCCCGGCGGATGTGAGTGTTACCGAAGTTTCTGGTTTGAAGTTCTCTAGTTTGGAGAAGCTGGTTTTGTTTGTTTGTTTTTCTTTTTTTGAATGACATGAACTGACAGGTTATTTAAGAATGTTAAAAGGATATCTATACATTAACGGTTGCTTTTCCAACCACAACCTTTTCGAAAAGAGAGCATACTGGAAATTCATACTGCTCCTCCGATATTAAATAAAATTAGATTTTCTGTTAATGACCGTTTGGGAGGGGCATTTAATACCTAATTTCTCTTAAGTGGAGTATGAAATTTTGAATACAAAACTTGAACTTTACTCTCTATTATTTCAGTCCAGTCAGAATTTGGTAAAGCAGGTTCTCTCACGACTAGTATATCCAAGTTCTTTTCACAAGCAGCATCGTGACAAGCAGCAGAGGGATTTTACTGACCAGCAAGATTAAAGACATCAGGTAATGGGAATTGTACCAAGAACACAGTAASAGCTGTAATAACCTATCAGAATATTTCATGGCCAGGAATGTAATATGTTACAGCCCCTGCAGAGCCACATGCCGCCTCGATAGCTTGGATTCTTCATGCTGCAAAAAGAAGTTTTGTACTGAGCTTGTGTGTTTAGTGAGATGATGGGCACCAAAGAGATATCTTAAGGCATGCAGGTGCTAGTGAAATCTGCAGTTCTATTCCTGCCTGCATGCTCATGCTCTATTCTATTTCAAGTACTATTTTCCACAGGAAAAAGAGTTAACTGTGATTTTGGCAAAGGAGCTAGTGGAAGATCTGGCCAGAGTCATATTTGATACTGCCAGTAAATTCAGTAGGGACCAGAGGATCTTGTTCATCAATTGCTGTTTTTTCTGAAAGTACCAGAGATGTCTTAACTTACCCCAAGGTAAGTGGAAAATGCTCAGTGAAAATAAAAGGAGTAAAATACATATTAGTTTGAATTTCTCAGCTCTTTGAATATTCTTTCTATGTCAGAAGCTCTACAGATAAGCTAGGAGATTTTTATAGCTAAGATGCGTGAGTCATTTCTTCCTTTAATTGATTGCTTTAATTCAAGTAACAAGTTGAAGTTCAGAATCATGCCAGGAGCTTTGGAAAATGAGTGTAAAAACAGTGAATGTACATCCAGTTTTTCAAAATATGTTTTGCTGATTTGTTGTCACTGTTCAAATCAGATTTATTGATGTGTTAGTTTTAATACTTAAGATGCTAATTTTCTTTTACCAAAAATATACTGTATATATTCATTTAATAGTTTTAATTATTTGATGAAGTATTTAATAGTTTTCTTACCTCTCCCACTGAGTTGGACAATGCTTGTACTATCTTCTCATGAGCAGTTGCAACAACACTTTGTCCATTGATCTCAATAATCCGATGTCCTACTCTGACCCCTCCTCTCTCAGCTATCCCACCTCGCATCAAGCTGCAAATCTACCAAGAGAAATTAAAGTTGGTTTCAGTTTAGAGATGTCATGTTGTAGCACTTGCTAAAGTTTAATAGATAAAAGATGCTAGTAATGAGAGGTGAGACTTTAGTGACTCCAAAGACAGGTTATAATAGCTAGGTTAGAATATTACAGATTATAATTTTTACCTTCATTTTTATGGACTGAAATCTTGTTTGTACAAACCACAGAAATGCCCTTAACGGTGACACAGCAGCCATGCAGGGAGAGGTGTATGTCCTTAAATTCTGTGTAATTTTGCCTTAAAAATTTTAAATAAAAGTAGAGACAGGAATATTGAAGGAATAAAACCGCCACCACCTACTAAATTTTAACTAGTTTTGCTATGTTTTTAGGTAGAGTTACCAAGAGTCCTTAGGCAAGGGATAGAGGCCCTTCTTGGAGGAAGGGTCACTTGAAAAGAGGTCTGAGCACAAGACTGTAAGGTGGAATCAGGGTAAACAAATCTCATAAATGTCAGTAAATGACAGGATCTTAGAGATGASTATTTGCATTTAAAGAGCATCACAGTTTTMAAAGAAGTGGTCTGCATCATTTTCAGAAGTTGCTGAAAGTGCCTTATGTCTGCCTCCCAGTCACACACCATTGCTGCTGCTTTTCTTTCATATATATGTACAACATTCAGATTTTGTTTTGCATGATGTTTTAAGAGTCCTTTTATAAATGTGCAGCATAACTACAGCAGGAGCTTTCTAGAGCCATGAAGAAAAACTGTGTTGTTTGTGCTAGGGGAGCTTCTGCAAATTTAACCTTTCATGTGTTACATCTTGTGTTTGTGCTGCTCCTTAACTAAAACTTTCCAGAGCTGGTA